CGAATGTCAGCAATGGAAAGCAAGTTGGGTTTTTTAACTAAAGGTTTTAATAGTGAAATTTAAGCAAGGGCTAGAAATAACAGAAGTTAAAGTATTTTTACATGATTTAAGCCAGGTTTGTTTTATTCTTTTAGTGCTAAAAATTGTATCTGAACTTCATTTATATATATATATAACCTGACTGTTGTTTTTCAGTTTTTATTTTTAGTAGCATGGGGGGTTCTGTGTTTCTTGTGGGATTTGCAGGATCTAAGGTTATTACGGGTGGGGGTGGGATAAAAACACAAGTAACAATATGGGAGCGGGTGGGCCTGTGTATTGCAGAGCGAGACTAGAGCGGGATAAAAATAATAGTTCCATGCAGGGCTCTCAGACACATCCCAGGTCGTGCCATCAGCAGCCTTGTCCCCAATGCCTTTCCTAGGCCCAGACATACATGTCCTCTCTGATGAGTTTCAGCTACGGAGTCCTGCTGACCAGGCATCATGACCCTGGGTTGTGCAATGGGAAGATGTCGTGTGCTTCCTGGGTACAAACAATTCTGCATTTACAGCGGATTTTCGGTTCTTTTCTTCCTCTTTTTTATTTTCATTCCTGGGAAGCGAAGGGGGTGACGTGTGGGATGGGGCTGTTGTGGGGGTTGGGGACACAGTTGCTTCCTTCCTCTCTCCCGCCCCCGCTGACAGGAGCACAGTGGGCTGAGGCTGGGGGGTGGCTGGGGTGCACAGGGCACTGTGCAGAGAACAACCTTCTGAGCCAATGACTGGTCCCTGCCTGTAGGAGCCTACAGCAGAGGGGACAGCACAGAGCTGGGGGAGCCTCCCTGGCTGGGGGTCTTCATGGCACATGAGTTTTTGGCACGATGTTGAGGATTCTTGGGGGACAGTGCCGGGGAAGCTCAGGGCACTGGGAGAGGAGGCCAGGGCTGGGACACAGGCAGCCATCAAGAGGGGATCACAGGTCGAGCAGGCAATGGGGCGGGGGGAGATGTACGCAGAGACCTGAGTCATGTAGCTGGATTCTGATGGTGGAAGATAGTCAAAGGGGACAGAGGAGACGGGGCAGGGGCGGAGAGTGAAACACCTGGGAATCCTCACAGCATCTCACATGCTCCGCCCAGCCCGGTTCCCTGAAGGATCCTTGGGAAAACACAGGGGACTCCCAGGAAATGGGGTTCTCTTACTGCTAGGGCAACAGGAGTGATGGAAGCCTGAGACGGTGGATGGAATCTAGATGTCCTGGAGACAGAGAGATTAGATAGAACGGGGATGGCTGGATGGAAATACACAAAATCATGTTCCAATTCCTACTTGATGTCTCTCCCGAGCTCTCGGTGTGAATTGCCCTGCAGTGCCCAGAGGTGCCTGACCCGAGAGGCGCAGCCATCACTCTGAGTTAGTGACGGCTAATAACAGTGACTGCTGATTTCCCTAGTGCCTTCCCCATGGGGCAGGGATTCGTGCTCTAACCGCCCTGTCTCTGCTGTTCCCTTCCAGGCAGTGCCTGGCTGCAGTTTCCTAGGGGCCCAAAGGGGGCGGCAAAGTCCATATTAACCCTTTACGCCCTGCATGCCGTGTCGTTCGTGCTATGGGCCGTGCTCCTCGCCGTGGCGATTGCGAAGTGTAAGTATCCCAGAGAGTGTTTAGGACCATGACAGAGAAACAGGCCCAGTGGAAAAGTCCAGGGGTGCAATCCTGGCTCCATTAAGTCAATGGTCAAACTCTCATTGGCTTCAACGAGGCCAAGATATCACCCCACATGTCCCTCTCAGCCCGAGCCGTGTCTCTGTCAATGGCCAGCGTGGGGTGTTGCAGGGGTTGGAGTATAATCCCCCATAATGCACTTCACTGTGCCCTAGTACTGCTAATTGTAAGACAAGGCTCATTAAGTCAGGTCACCCGACCTCCAGCTCACAGCAGTGGGACCGATAGGCGCTGACTCTGTGGGTGCTCTGGGGCTGGAGTGCCCATGGAAAAAAAATAGCGTGGGTGCTCAGCACCCACCAGCAGCCCCGTCAATCAGCTCCTCCCCATCCCTCCCAGCATGATCAGCTGTTCAGCGGCCTGCAGGAGGCACTGGGGGGAGGGGGAGGAGTGGGGGCAGGAAGACGCGGGGTGCAGCCTTGGTGAAAGGGGTGGAGTGAGGGTGGGGCCTGAGTCAGAGAGGAGGTCCAGCAGCCCCAGGGAAATCACAGCGCCTCTGGCGGGACCCCTTCCCAGGACCCGCAATCTGAGCAGGAACATACTGGGGTGTGATGCTTGAATGTATCCCCATGTTCGACAAGCTAGTACAGTGCATGTTGGGACCCCCTCTGGCAGCTGCTCCACATTGGATGACAGCCCAACTACTGCTGCCGGCTAACAGAGTTACTCCTTTAGCTCAAGTGGTTAGAGGTCTATGCTGCAGGGGTCAGATATTCAAATCTTGTGATGACCCCTGATGGGAGATTACACACAGCTTCAGTGTTGAAAACTCTAGGTGGTTGAATTAAAGCCCCAGCTCCTGGAGTCATGTGAGTCCTGGAGTCATGTGATTAGTTGAGACTCTCAGCTTTCATTTAAAAAATC